GGATGACACTCATCTCTACGCCGGCGCATTCCAAGTACAAATGATTGCAGCCCTCGCAGAGAAGACGGAACAACAAGCCGCCTTCGATAGGCGTCTTATGGAAGTAATGCAATCAGACACGGTGTCAAGCTCCAAGCGCAACCTACATCGCAAGTAGTGCTTGCTAAATCCCAAAATTTTGTTATAGAATAGGAACTCAGCTAAAAGTCTTACTTTTCTTTAACTTCTGTATCGGAGATCCTTAGAAGGGTCGAAAATTTTCCTAACTCCAAATGTAACTCGACATGTGTTTAATATATATGAAGAAATTCCGTTGTGTGTAAATTCTTTGACTACCACTCAGATTCATAAGTTATCTAACACTGTGCAAACTTTTATTATGAGTCAAACACTAAACCATGGGTAATTCAGTCGAATTTATAAATTGATAAAAATGACAAATTTATTAACACACTAAAAACTTATGTTCTTCATTCTATTTCTTTATCAACACAATGCTGCCCCGTAGATCTACACGCCGTGTCAACAACGCACCACCTCCACCACCACCCCCTACTACAATGGAAAATGGCGCATTGATAGCTGCTGTAACGGCTGTAGTAACAGCGACAATGGTCCAAATGAGCAACAATGGTTCTAATGGGGGAGTAAATAGTTCTACAAATAGCCAACGTCAAGGTCGCCCAGGGGATTGTACATACAAGGATTTCATGAATAGAAAACCCATTACTTTTAATGGGGCCGGAGGAATAATGGCTCTATCACAGTGGATAGAGAAAACTGAAGCAGTTTTTGAAATTTGTTCTTGTCTGGAAGGGAACAAAGTGAAGTTCGCTGCCTGTACTTTCTCTGAGAGAGCTATGACATGGTGGAATGGCCATGTCAAGTTACTAACACTAATGGTGGCTAACTCTATGGGCTGGGAGAACCTAAACAAATCTTACTGCAGGAGTACTGTCCACGGGGAGAATTGCAAAAGCTCGAACAGGAACTTTGGGGCCTTACGATGGTAGGCTCAGATATCACGACCTATACCAACAGGTTCAGTGATTTGGCAATCCTTTGCCCAGGAATAGTTGCTCTAGAGAGAAAGAAGATCGAAAGGTACATCTGGGGACTGTCACTCCAGATTGGAGGGAGTGTTCTAGCTTCCAAACCAATCACCTTCGATAGCGCTAAACAGTTGGCACAAGCTCTCGCAGACCATGGGGTTTGCCAAAACTTTGCAACTACCGCACCAGAACAACCCCGAGGAAGCAACAACAACAACGACAATACCAACAAGAACAAGAAGAAGAGGTTCTGGAACAAAAGGAAGAGTCAACCTTCACAGGAACCTTCCAAGAAACAACAGATCGTGGCAGTCCATGCCGCTACTGCCCCACTACTGCTCCAATTACCACTACACCAACATAACCATATGTTGGAAACCTGCCGAAATGCAGCAAATGCAATTTCCATTACAACGGAAATTGTCGGGAGATGCATTGCATCAACTGCAACAAGAAGGGGCACACTGCCCGTTTCTGTAGAGCACCAGCACAACCGATCACCCAAGTACAAGGAGCTGGTGTAGGCCAGGCATGTTATGTATGCGGTGAGGTTGGACACTATAAGAGAGACTGCCCTAAGGCAAGGAATGCTGGCGGCATAGGAAGAGTGCTGGCAATAGGGCAGAATGAAGCAGTAGCTGATCCCACAGTGGTTACGGGTACGTTTCTCCTCAATAATGCTTATGCATGTATACTCTTTGAGTGTGGTGTGGAGAGGAGTTTCGTGATTCATAAATTCAAGCATATACTAAAACAGAACCCTAAAACACTCAATAAGATATTCACAGTAGAAACGGCAAACGGTAGAACAGAAAGCACGAATGATATGTACAAAGGCTGCACACTAACTCTAAACGAACATTCATTTCAAATCGATCTAATGCTGATTACTATAAAGAACTTTAATGTCATCATCAATATGGATTGGTTAAGCCTACACCATGCCGATATTCTTTGTCACGAAAGGGTCGTTCGCCTAAACCTGCCAAGAGGCGAAACTCTTGTCATCTATGGTGACAAACCCGGTACCAACTTACAAATCATCTCTTGCGTCAAAGCCCGGAAATACCTACGTGAGGACTACTATGCCTTCTTAGCCCACGTGGTAGATAAGGAAAAAGAAACGAAGAGCATCAAAGACATTCCAGATGTCTGCGATTTTCCCGATATCTTCCATGAAGATCTCCTAGGAGTCCCACCAGAACGACTAGTCGAGTTCAGAATTGATTTAATTCTCGGAGCTACCCTAGTAGCTAAGTCTCCGTATCGTCTGGCGCCCGGTGAGATGCAAGAATTATCCAGCCAATTAAACAAACTGCTCAACAAAGGGTTCATCAGGCCAAGCTTCTCACCTTGGGGAGCACCGGTCTTATTCATAAAGAAGAAGGATGGATCTTTCCGCATGTGCATTGATTACCGGGAACTTAACAAGCTTACTATCAAGAACTGATACCTACTACCACGCATTGACGACCTGTTCGACCAACTCCAAGGAGCGAGTTATTTCTCAAAGATCGACTTAAGATCCGGATATCACCAACTACGAGTCTTGGAAGGAGATGTTCCCAAATCAGCTTTTCGAACTCGTTATGGACACTACGAGTTTGTAGTGATGCCCTTTGGATTAACAAATGCACCGGCGGTGTTCATGGACTTAATGAACCAAGTGTGTCGTTCATTCTTGGACAAATTTGTGATCGTGTTGATAGACGATATACTCATTTATTCCAAGAATAAAGAGGATCACAGTCAACACCTTCGATAAGTTTTGGAAACGCTAAGAAAAGAGAAGCTATACGCTAAGTTCTCCAAGTGCGAATTTTGGATTCGGAAGGTAGATTTCCTAGGTCACGTGGTTAGCAAAGACAGAATTCACGTGGACCCTTCCAAAATCAAAGCAATCGAGAACTGGTCAGCTCCAAGAACCCCAACGGAAATTCGACAATTCTTGGGTCTTGTTGGCTATTACCGTAGATTTATACAAAGCTTCTAGAAGATTACTAAACCACTCACCACCCTGACACAGAAGGGTGTAACTTCAATTGGGAAGGAAAAGAAGACGCTGCATTTCAAACGCTTAAGCAAGCACTATGCAGCGCACCTATATTGTCCTTGCCAGAAGGAACAAAAGACTTCGTAGTCTACTGTGATGCATCTAACCAAGGTCTTGGATGCGTACTAATGCAACGAGGTAATGTCATCGCTTATGCCTAAAGACAACTCAAGACACACGAAGTCAACTACACTACCCATGATCTTGAACTAGGAGTAGTCGTTTTCGCACTAAAAATCTGGAGACACTATATTTATGGGACGAAATGCACGATCTTCACCGATCACAAGAGCCTTAAGCACATCCTTAACCAAAAATAACTCAACATCAGGCAGAGACGATGACACTACTAGAAAAACAGCCTTTTACGATGCTCATTGCGCGTCGTAAAAGGCTCAGACGACGCGCAAATGCGCGTCAAGGAAGGCCCTATCATAAAGAGAGACGACGCGCTTTTGCGCGTCGTCTATAGACGATGCGCATTTACGACGCGCATATACGACGTGCAATTACGACGCGCGTTTACGACACACAATGCGTATCAAGGAAGGCCCTGTCATAAAGGAAGACGACATGCATTCACATGTCGTAACCTTACGACGCGCGTGTTAATGACACGCAATGCGTATCAAGAAAGCCCCTGTCAAGAAAGGCCATGTCATAAATGAAGGTGAGACACATTTTTGCGTATTGTAATTTTAAATTTAAAAAAAAAAAAAATTATTTATAGATTTACTTATTTTCATAGTAAATTTGCATTTCATGTCACATAATGGAAAATAAAATACCATTTACAAATAATACAATGCACTAAACAAAAGTTAATGTTATACAAATAATCATTCCAATAGTAGATAAATGTAATAATACAAATAATCATTCCAATATTAGACAAATGTAACATTTCAACATTTTTTTTTATATAATTAACTAAATTATTAGCCAATTTCCTAAAATACCAACATACTTTTCTATGAAGAGCATTAACACTATTCTTTTCCATCAAAAACTTCAAAACCTGCATAATTAATTTAATGTTTAATCAGCTACAGGTCAATAAGGTAGGTTTAAGCAAAAGAGTTTCACAGTAGTAAGATTTTACTTACCACTGTTGTTAATGATATTGAAAGAAGCAGCCCAACAAACAACCCCTAAGAAGGATTATTACTAAATGAAACCAAAAACAAAGTTAAAAAGTGAAGTATTTTGTGACAACCCCGGAACCAGGGGCAAGGCTGTTTTTACCCATGGTTTGACCTAATACATGATAATAAATACCTTTTTAACAAAAAGAAAAATGACTTCTCACGTGAGATCACTATCATGAATTGATGAAAGAGGGTACTCCACACTATATTGCCAACAAGCTTGACACCAACACCTGAAAGCTGGAAAAAACAATAACATAAATAAAAATAAATGTAAGATTTGAGATAACAGATGCATGTGTATTAAAAACAGACACTTTTATTAACTTTTTTGGGATAAATAATGGAGTAATAAAGATTTGAAATTTAAATATGAACATACTGGCCATAGGCTATCTTTGTCAAGCTTGGAAGCTCAATCTTCGGCTTGGTTGAAGTAAAACCTAGTCTGATTAATCTTCCCTTTCATGAATTATCTTCAGTTATCAGTCACTCTTCTTGAGTAAACATCGTCATCACATAGCCCATATTGGGCTAGCTCATCTTGAGGAAGATACACTTAAGCTACTACTACTACTTCTCTACAAACCCCTGTTTCTGGGAAAGCATCAAAACCACAAAAAAAAAAATCCTAGAATTGGAAAGTGCAATAAGGTAGGATCCAATGCTGGTGAGCTTCACAAAAAAGTCTTTTTCTTTCGACTCAAATTAAAAAAATATTGTGATGAGTTTTTGTTGCAAACTGAATTATGCAGATTCTCCATCAGGACATAATCTTACCCTCGCTGGCCCCTGTCGATATGATAGCTCTTTAGGTAACACATAAATAACTGCACCGACCTTTTCCCCTCTCTCTCTCTCTCTCTCTCTCTCTCTCTAGGTAACACATAAATAACTGCTTAATCATGTTCCTAGTGACCCGGAATGTGATCACTGGAGTCCTTTTGGGTGCTGTTATCTGTGCTGCAAGAACATGAGTCTGAGAAGAACCCCGAGTTGTCACTGGAGGAGGAAGATTCCTACTCCAATCTCCGGTATCGGTAACCAAGATAAGAAGTCGGCTGGTAATTGCAAGCCTACCAAGGTTCAGTGGAGTGAACGAATGTTTTGTGTTTTCGTGCATCTTGATGCTGGATTATTGAGCTGCGTATTGATCGTGGGGTCCGTGGGGAGCATCTAAAAAACAAAGCAAACAAAAAAAATGAAATTGCTTGACTAATAACATAAAATAAAATAAAAAAAAGATAAAAATACCTTGCACAAAAGAGCATGTATGCGCCTTTTGTTAATACATGTTGAAGATCCACCTCGTTCACCTACATTGACATGATATAACTCATATAAGCATAAGCATAAGCATAAGAAATGAAAGGTGGTATTTTAGAAAAAAATGGTGAATACATACCATGGTGTCGTTAAATTTGAACCATTGATTGTGATGATTCTTAACATAGCAAACATAATGACCAGAAAAGGCATCATTCATTGTATCTACATGAACCACCACCCCATAAAGCCTATAAACTGGCGACTTATCACTTGACCCACTAACATATGGAGCCATGTCTAAAATCTCTGGAAACTCAACCGATTTGTTCAGCTTCCCAAATTTAACACACTGTAATACAATCAAATTCAGTAACATAATAAGACTTGCACAAATATCTTTTGGTAAAAAAATATTACATGAAATCTCTTCAATGAAATAGTAAGCACATTAGGAGCCTCCAATAACATCAGTTTCTTTCTGACTTTCTCATAGGATTTGCACCTTAAGAGCAAATTAATTAATACACTATATAATAGTGAAAAGGATGTGAAAAAGAAAAGATAGGTGAATTAACACCAAAACCAACATGCTGCATTTGTACTTGTTCTGGGGAGGAGTTAAAAAACAGAGAAAGTAAGTCGGCTTCCCGACCTGCTGGACAGGCGGATTTCTAGTCTTGCTGATGTTATTATTATTATATAATCATGTGTTAAAAAGATACTTGTCTTGTGATCTTTTCGACACTTTAAGAAAACTGGTTGGACTTGGGTTTTTATATTAATATCATGGGTCAAGAACATCTGAAACAAATGATTGTTGATTTGTTAGGCAAGGCCTTTTAATCTGGATTCTAGTGAGCCAACTATATGCATGAAAGTGTTTGTATTAAGGTTCAACATGTAAACAATATGGTTGTTGAATAGAACCTCCAAAAATGCATAATATGCCTTTGTAAGCTACAAAACACACACAAAACAAGAACTAGCTCAAAAAAACATTAGATAAATTTGTTTCATCCTACAATAAAGGCTTAAGCTACAAAACATTACATTTAAAGTTGGAAAGTAAAAGCCTTACATCAAAAATTAAACAGAAACTACAACCATCTGTCCTAAATTTGTTTCATCCTACAAAAAAGGCTTAAGGAAAAGGTTAAGAGTTTCTTTTTACAAGCAAATATAGATTTGAGCAACAAACAACACGGCTACCCCGAGCCAGATCCAGATCTAGGCATGAGAGACATGGCTCGTCTAAAATCCAATGACTTGAGTGACCCAGGGAAGTTTTTCCCTTGTGGTAGGATACTACAATAAAATACATGACTATTTCTTGCATTCAACCATTAATTGAGGACATTTGCTTTTATTGTTTGTCAAAGAGATTTATTTAGGACCCTTTAAGGAACATAAAAAACTAGAGTTAATGTAATATTATTACTTGCAAACTCCTCATGAAAATAGGCGTCAAATCCAATAAAAAACAAACAAAAAAGCATGTGAAATGGAACAAATCATACTGTTGTTTAGCTTTGATATCCTTGTTAAAGTCAATGGTTGGCTCACAGTTAAGAACCAAAGCAGGTACCTGTTGATAGTCAATATGCAAGCAACCCCATCATCAATCAAACTAGCATCAAAAGCTCTCACAACTATGGTGTTGTTTCTTTTCAACATAACAAAATGAGTTGTTCCTTTTGTTACTTAAATAAGAATCGACTTAATAGAAAAACTCATGGAATGGAATGGAAAAGGCCTAAACACTAGATGTGAAAGTGAAAGTGAAGATACCTTTTCAATGCTTGAATGCGTATGATTACCCTCCAAATGAATTTATCTGCATCAGCAGGATCTGCATGACAGAATCCGTAAGTTCCCTATAATGGCTGAAATAACTCCTCGATATCTATAGAACTTCAAGTCCAGGAACAAACAGTAGAAACCATGTCTCCACAATTCTTGAAGTATTGTCAATTTCTAGGTTAACCAAAGTAGAAAATCCAAGAAATTTGTCAAGAAACATATACATGTACTCAGGTTAATAAGACACGAGAGTACCTTTGGCGGGAGCGTTGATAAATAAAACCCTAGACGAAGGATGCTGATAACGAGGGTTTATGAGTTTTTTTTGGTGGGTATTCTTTTTATCAGTAGATTCATCTTACTCGATCTCACATACTGATATTGATTTCCTGCTTCTACTCCTAGAACTTGAACGGTAGCTCTTTTTCCTCCTCCTTGATCTGGAATCATATGAATCAGCTGAATCATTGATGAGAAGAACTTGAAGATAAAAGATGGAAACAGAGGTGGAGGAGAACAAGGGAAACCAGATACAACAAAAATGAAGGCCAAGACCGCCTAAGAAGTGGTCGATGCAAAAAAAAAAAAAAAAAAAAGGGGGGGGGGGGAAACAAAAATCGCTAAAATCGCATGAGGGAATCCATGAATTTTAGGGAAAATACCACCGGTTGTTTGGGATTTTTCTTAGTAGCGAGATTTTTTATAATTCTTTTGGGATTTCATTCTATAATTTTTGGGAGTGCAATTCGATCATCGATGGTAGAAGGGGTTTTTACAGAGAGTGAAGATCTAGAGGAGAGGGTGAGGATGCGTATCAAGGGGGTTTAATTTTTGGGTTCACCGGTGGAAACAAGGGAGAGGAGAACAAGCGGGATTTTTAACTTTTGGGTTTTTATTTCCCGCTTAGCTATTAAATGATGGAAAACGCGCCTTTCACTCAAAAATTATAAAACGACATCCTTAGACGACACACGTTTTAATATAGGTGCCCTCCGTGTTTTTTTTGGACATGAATTTTAGTGCACGCAAAAATGCATGTCTTAAATCCTTAAATTTTTTAGAGAGATGACACTTTCTTATTGTCACTCTCTTTTGCGTAACATAAATCAATGATTGTCATTGTTTGCACGTCGTAAAAGGCTCTTTTTCTTGTAGTGTGGGTTGAACTACTGAATGACTACGAATGCGAGATTCGCTATCACCCAGGAAAAGCAAATGTAGTAGCTGATGCCCTTAGTCGGAAAGAATACTCAGGTTGTCGAGTGAAATCCTTAACCATGACGATCAATTCACATTTGTCCACACAAATCAAGGAAGCTCAGAGGGAAGCCTTGAAAATGAAGAATGTGGCAGGTGAAGCCCTAAGAGGAATGGACAAGAATCTTGAAGTCAAGGGGGACGAAGTTCATTACTTCATGGATCGGATCTGGACACCGAAGTTTTGTGGATTCAAAGACGTAGTCATGAACGAGGCTCATAAGACTCCATACTCCGTGCATCCAGGTTCGGACAAGATGTATTTGGACCTCAAAAAACTGTATTGGTGGCCGAACATGAAAGCAGAGATCGCTACCTATGTGAGCAAGTGTCTGACTTGCGCTAAGGTCAAGGTAGAGTAACAGAAGCCATGGGGATTGCTGCAACAACCCGAAATACCCGAGTGGAAGTGGGAACAGATAAAGATGGACTTCATAACCAAATTATACAAGAAAACAGGTGGACTACACAACATCTGGGTAATCGTTGATAGGTTAACAAAATCCACACACTTCCTACCAATAAGAGAAACCGACAAGATGGAGAAGCTAGCTCGAACCTACATCCGAGAGATTGTACGACTACATGGTGTACCAATATCCATTATCTCCGACAGAGATAGTAGGTCCACCTCGCGATTCTGGCAATCGCTACAAAAATCTCTAGGAACGAGGCTCGACATGAGTACTGCTTACCATCCACAAACCAACGGTCAAAGTGAGAGGACCATACAAACCTTGGAAGATATGCTAAGAGCTTGTGTAATTGATTTTGGTAAAGCGTGGGATACCAATTTACGACTAGTCAAATTTTCATACAACAATAGCTATCACTCCAGCATTAAAGTTGCTCCATTTGAAGCCCTCTACGGACGGATGTACAGATCACCACTGTGCTGGACTAAAGTAGGTGACACACAACTAGCCAAGGGACAAGTACCCGACAACACTCTCACTGGCTCGGAAATCATAAGAGAGACAACCGAGAATATTGTACAAATTTGGGAATGACTAAAGGCTTCAAGAGTCAGACAAAAGAGTTATGCAGACAAAAGACGGAAACCCTTGGAATTTCAGGTAGGGCACCGAGTGCTATTAAAGGTCTCACCCTGGAAGGGGTTAATACATTTCGGAAAACGTGGGAAACTAAACCCGAGGTTTATCGGACCATTCGATATCCTTGCAAGGATCAGCCCGGTAGCCTACAAACTTTATCTACCGCAGGAACTCAATAATGTACACCCCACCTTTCATGTGTTAAACATGAAGCAATGTTTGTCTGATGAGACCAATTAAAATCGTGGATAGGGAAATTAAAAGAACAAAACAAAGTCACATATCCATCGTGAAGGTCCATTGAAATGCAAAGCGAGGACCTGAATACACCTGGGAACACGAAGATCAGATGAAACACAAGTACCCCATATTTTTCCTTAATCCACAAGTGTCTTCCTTACATTAAATTTCGGGACAAAATTCCTCTAATGGGGGGATGATGTGACAACCTGATATTTTGATTCTATGTAATGACTTAAAAAGCCAAGTATTGTAACCACTTTTGAAAATAATGAAATTAACTTTGAAAATAAAATGTACAAAGTCTCTATTTGGTTACCTACTATGTTAGATATCATTAAACCATGAGCGTACATAAGAAGAACGTCCAAATCTGACTTCGTATGAGGAAGTTATGATTTTTCCGAGTTCGGTATAGCGATAGACAGCTAAAAACTCAAAACAGATATCGAGCGACTTTTGGCAGGAATGACCTAAATGAGAATCGAAGGTCTTGAGAATGATATTTCTATGGAAAAAAGTCTGGCAAAAACAGACATCGGAATATGAAGTTATGCATTTCTAACAAACTTTTCTTACCCCAACCTTTTAAAAATAAATAATAAAAATAATTTCAAAATTTGCCGACGGAGTCTAAACGAAAGTTGTAGAGCGTAGTCGTCACCTACGCGTGGATATAAAGAACGTTTAAAACGGAGTTCGTATGAAGAAGATATGAATTTTTGAAGTTTACTAAATAATAAAAATATAAAATTTAATCAAATTTCGGTATTATCCGAAGGGGGAGTCACCGACCCAATCCAAGTTACGCCCGGTGTAATAGCGTACGCCCAACGTACTCGAGGACTAGGCCTCAAATCTCCCACGTCGCCCCCTATGCGAAGCTATGCCCCGTCCCATCCGAGCTACGAGGCAGTCGAGGATGCGGTCACGCTTGACGTACACGTACGCCCAGCGTACCGAGGCGGTTCCCAGCCCCTATAAAAGGGATGTGAGGGTTTCGGTGAAAATGCTCATTTCCTCTCATCTTTCTTGTTTTTTGCCTCATTTTCCATGCACGTGGTATCCCGAAGCCCCGGTTTCCATACTCAAGCCCCGAAGGTCGTTTGTGCCCCCGAGATTTCCGAGAATCCCAAGAAAAATCCACTTTCTCGAGTCAAAGTTCTGCTCGGTTTTCATCTTGCCTTTTTCGATCTTTCAAGTGAGTTCATACCCCTATAAACTACGCTTTTTAAATGTTTGATAAATGCTTTTTATACAATATTAAGGGGGAAATGCAAATAAAACACGCGGTTATTATCGTGTGTATCTTAACGATTCACTATATAAACTTTTTATCTAAGTAATCATATGTGATTCATAAACTACTACATGAGTATTCTCGTATGAAATATATATTTTCAATAACACCTTGTGTTGTGGAAATAAAACGTGTATATATATATATATATATATATATATACACACACACACACACAAATCAAATGGTCCATTATTACATTAGGTATATGTGATCAGTTAAGTCACTTTACGTGTTATACTTTACATAATGAGTGAGCATTACACTAGGGATTACTATATGAACGAAACGCACTTTGAAAAACTATAATAGGTATATTTTACGAGGAAATCATGAACATTTACGTACTAGGAACACTACATCAAAGAGATATTTTCATATACAAGAATGAATGGACATTTTCATACGTAAATCTATTTTATACTAAATTTTGTGAGACATTTCACGTACTTTCGAGTATGCATTTTAAGTCATGTATTATATACCATAATCCCTTGTAGGGGGAGCGTGATACTTGTGTATAGATCTATACGGGATTGACAATTCCACAAGTAAGCTTTTAGCTACAGCTAGGCCGACAGGCCTCGGGTGACAAACATCATAACTTTCCAACGCTTGAAGAATGTTGATATAGGCATCCTGGTCAAGTAGCATGGTTATAAGACTCACATGGAGTATTAAAAACACATTGATTTATGGGGTTTTTTCAAATACCTTAACGATTTACATATAAAACTACGATTTTATGCATGGAAAGCACTATTGCATTACAGTTTTGGAAAAATCAAACTACCAACTACTATCGTTGAAAATATGGGATTTTCTTGGAACATTTAACGTGTACAAACCATTTTCATTCTATTTCATATAAACATTGTCACTAAATAGTTATGAACTCACCAGCTTAAATGCTGACATACTGTTTCAAAACCGCTTGTATTTCTCTGGGATTCAGTAATACAGGTAAACTGCAACTTTTGAAGAAGAGACGCTGCGGCGTTAGTTTAATTTCATTTTACACATCATATTGTAATTTCTTTTGAAACAATTACCTTTCAACAATGTGAACGTTTAAATTATATATGTGATGGTTGTATTTCTTTCTTTACTATGTATTCAATTGTTACGATACTTCATGACATCATCCACCCTCGAACGATTCCGCCGTTCTGGTTTGGGGGTGTGACATCGTCGAGTTTCTCCATTAATGGCACAGATCCAAAAAATTCCCATCAACTCACCGAGTTTACTAATGAACACGCCAAGTTAGCCATAAATCCAACAACTTAATGCATTAAGTTGTTTCCGTCGAATCTAGAAATTCCAATTCTTAGATCTCCTTCAAAACGTTGTCTAGAAGGGTAACTTTACCCTTAGGACCCATCCAAAATGACTTAAACCCAAACACTAGACCCATTAGAGTGAGGTTTAACCCATTAAGCCCTTAAACTCTCAAAACATAGTGCCAAAATACACATCTGACCTCCTAAAGCTGGAAAATCATGTAAAATTTCCAACTTTACATCCATGCATGCTAAAAAGAAACCCTAGGACTTTATATGGGCTTAATAAAGGACTTATTGCGTAAATGGGACCTAGGACCTAACAAATTAAAC